TTCTGTTGGTTTCTATGCATTAGCTACAAGTTACCCCTCCCATCTTGAAGGGGTGATCTCAGGTAGGAGATGAGCCTTATTTTTCAGCTCTGCCCTACCTCTTGATCATCTCTGAAACTCTCGTGATTGTCCAAGGAGGCTTATTTGTTCTTATTGCCTCTGTAGTTGAGGGTGTACCCAGACCTGTCAGTGTTCCAACGGGGAGGAGGATTTCAGTCAGCACTTAGATGCAAGATGAGTGGAAGACTGAGCCTCTGGCAACAGCTTTTAAAGTCTGTAAACAGACCTCTTTTAGGGAAAGACTGGGAGATGTAAGTTTCTGTATGCTCCCTCTGTGCTGAGCTCTGGGAAGATAGCTAGCTATTTAAAAACTGCTGTTTTTTTTTCCTTTTGGTATGCTACCATCTCACTGAGCTGTAAACATAAGCCCCCACTGACTACCAGAACATCAGATAAGCACACAAGCTCCTTTCCAGGAGATACCCATGACCTGGAGCGAGGCAGGAGTGGGGAGACGGCACTAGCTGGCCTACATCATCTCTGGAGAGTGTGGAAGTCAGCCCCTGGATGTGTGTTAAATTAGAAGCCTGCCTCTTCAGGCTGAGGCTTTTAAGATATAGACAAATGAACCTCTTTCATGGAAAGACTGGGTGCATTCCAGCCTGTTGCCTTTATGCTGTGCAGTTGGCCAGGGGCAGTGTTAGGCATGGTGAGTCCCCCTGTAAGTACTGTCTCTGTTCACTCTGGCTTTCTGGACTTCATGGATGTTAGATGTTTGGAGAGCCCATCTCTCAGGTAGAAGGACATATTAAGAGCTGGGGCTCAAACCTTTACTACTCAGAGAGAAGCTAATAGTTGTGAGTTCCTTCCTGGTTGTGTGTCATCATGACCAGGATGGGGTTCACAGCAAGACTGTGGCTCAGACTCTCCTATGTTGTTTTAAATTGGTTTCTATTGGGGTAGAGTTGCGTTACAATATTCTTAGCTTCACGTATACAGACAAGTGAATCGTTATACATCCATCCACTCTTTTTTAGATACTTTTCCCACATAGGTCATTCCAGAGTACTGAGCAGAATTCCATGTGCTATGCAGTAAGTCCTGATTGTCTGTTTTATATACAGCAGTGTGTATATGCCAGTCCCAGCCTCCCAACTCCCCTGGTAACCATTCGGTTTGTTTTCTACATCTCCTACATGCTGGATGTGGGCTTTTTTGGTTCTCCAATGTTTATGTACAGGACTCACTCAGCTATTTCCTGAATGTCTTTGAGAGGGAACTATTCAGTGTGGAGTTGTTGTAGATTCTGTGTTTGTGTGCGAGGAGGGAAGTTCAGGATCTTATGTTGTCATCTTGATCCAGAAACTCTAGTGAAACTTTCTCAGTGTGTGAATCATTCTGTATCTACATAATGGTGTACTGTGCTTGACTTTGAAAATATTCATTCAAGAGGCATTTTACTGAATGCTTGTTGCATAAAAGGTTATCAATTGGGAAAGAAAATGAGCAAGACTTAGTTGTTGCTTTTAAGGAGGTTAAGTACTTAACTAGGGAGAAAATAAATGACTGGTACAGGAGGGTGGATTTTGAATATCATGGTAAAGGAGTAAAATGGAAGGAAAGAAAGTGAGAAAGACAGAAGAATTTAGTACCTTGCTTATGATGATGGTATCATGTTGCTCAGTTGTGTCCAACTCTTTGCAACCCAATGAACTGTAGCCCACCAGGCTCCTCTGTCCATGGGCTTCTCCAGGTAAGAATACAGGAGTGGCTTGCCATTTCCTCTTCCAGGGAAACTTCCCTACCCAAGGACTGAACCCATGTCTCCTGCATTGGCAGGCGGGATTCTTTACCACTGAGCCAACAGGGAAGCCCATGGGTGTGTGTGTGTGTGTGTGCATATATATATATACACACACACACTCAAATTTATCAAGATGTATACATTAAAAGTATATCTTTGTCATTTATACCTGAATGAAGCTAAAAAAAGAAGGCAAGTAGGTAAAGGAAGAAAATGCGGAAAACTGGTACCTCTGTACAGTTTAGACAGTGGGAGAGATGTTCTGGAGGCTGATCGTGATTTCAGAGTGTGTTCTATTTTTATCTGGTTTTATCCAGAACATATTCACGGGAGAGGTCTAGCTGGCAATCTTGAGAAAAAGCCTTGAAGTGATGTGCTGAGGACACAACATCACCTATGTGGTAATCTGGCATAAGACACTTAGCCTGAATCCAATTGGGAGTATTCAAGCAGGCAAATCCCCAGTGAGAAACGTTCTATACAACAACTAGCCTGACCTCTTCTGAAATGCCAGTGTCCTGCAACATCTGAAGAGGCTGGGGGATTGTTCTAGATTAGAGGAAACTCAAAAGACATGAAAACTAGATGCCAAGAGTGATCTTTCTTTGGCTTCTAAATGAAAAAGATAAAAAGCTATTAATAGAAAGAATATTATTGGCAGAATGGGGGATATCTGAATCTAAATTATCTATTAGATAATAGTGGTATATCAGTGTTAATTTCCTGAGTGTGACTATGTAAGAAAATATTTTTCACCTTGGAAGATACATGTTAAAATGTTTAGGGATGAAATGTTACTATATATGAAATATAGTCATTCAATGAGTAAAACTATACATGCACATAAAACAGGAATATATACAGTATACACACACACAGACACAAAGATGTTAACAAACATAAATAAATACAGCAAATTGGCAAAATGTTGACTAAATTGCAATTCTGCCCTAAGTTTGAAATTGTTCTAAGCAGGGAAGGAAACTTTTAACATTGTTTAAACAAACAAAATACAAAATGTTCTTTAAAAAGAATGATTGGGTACAAGTTAAGGAGTCAGAGATAAGTTGTTAGGAAGACAGACTTTGTCCATTTCTATTTGTCTTATTTTAAAACATAATGTGAGCTTCACAGCACACCATCCCATTAAAAAAAAATGTATAAAACACCCACATGGTACACAGAGACTTACCATTGGTAAGTATGTCATGGTTTGAGGAAACACTCCAACTCATTAGATAGATCACCCAGTATGACTTCACCTGCACTTCTCTTTACAGAGTCCTGGGGTTATATATTACAAGAATGTGGCATTCTACCAGAGTATGGTTCAGCAAATCCCAGCCTCATCATACCTTGGAGCTTCAAAGCATGAGGATACACACTGCATTTATTTTAACACATGTGCATCTCTCAAGAAGAGGGTCTTTCCCTGCCCCCTTCTTTACAGTGAGGATTCAATAGATATGAATTTAAGCAAATTCAGGGAGTTGGTGAAGGACAGGGAAGCCTGGTGTGCTGCAGTCCATGTGTTCACAAAGAGTCGACACGACTTAGCAAATGAACAGCAACAGTGGGGTGGGGGGGAATCACCTCTGCACTCAGTCTCTTCAGAAAACAAGCTTACTAACAATAGAGCCTATCCATTTGACACTGGCAAGTTATCTCTTAGCCTAACTCAGCCACTGGCAAATGCACTTCTGTCCTTGTATTTAAGTCTGCCACGATTCTCTGAGCTCCACAAATCATCAGGCCGACAGCCTGAGGTGTACTTTAATTTGGGTGCTTTCATAGGCATGCTGCCTCCAGGCTCATGGTGACAGGTCTAAATAATTAATACTTCTAAGCACCCAGGGCTTTGCATCTCACCTCTCAAATATGCGACTTAGCTTCTCAGGCTGGGCTTACTTCAAAAAAAGAGAAAATCCTGCAGTAGGAAATAACAACAGACATACTAAAACTCCATTGTTTTGGGAAAGTAAGGACTTTGTTTTCAGATGTAAGCATATGTTTTCAGATGCTGAGCTATTGCTTACAGTCCCAACAGTCGATTAGCTCGATTCAGATCTCAGGTGGAGGCAAGAGCAGCCGATGCCCTAAATCATTGAGGTGTGGCAAAGCTGGGAAAACAACTTCAAACATCTCCTCTTCCTTCACAAAAGAAATGAAAGCTGGCTTTCATTTATGGAGTTACCTGCTTCACTGTTTGGTCTTAACGTTCCTTCTCAGCCTGGAGAATATGACTTGGTGTATCTACACCTTCCAACACTACTCCCCCCATCAACTAAATGGAGGTCTTCCCCAAGGCCCTGAAGCCATGCCCCTGTGTTATACCTCTCCTCTCATCCCTTTCAGCTCCCCATTCTGTGAGGTTCACCCTCAAATCTCTCCAGACTGCCCTTTTACCATCTCCTCAAAGACAGTACCTCCACCTTCAAAAGGGTCATCATCTTCTTCCAACCAAGTCCTCTTCCCTCCTTTCCTTACATTTTCCAGTCAGACCCCTGGTCTTGGGTACTCTACTTTCAAACAAGTCACAGTCATCTCCTCCTATCCCATCCCAGACATCTCTTAAGCAGCCTCAGAAGTCCCATAACTTGGCCTTTGTGACTGCCTTCTCACTGGTCTTTCAAACTATAGAAGTTTTACTCTAGGACAGATAAAGCTGCCAGAGTACATCTCTGCAGCTATTTCGTACCTGCTAAATGATTCTCAGTGGCTCTGTGACCCCGACCAAACACCTCTGCCCAGTATTCACGTCACTACGTTGTGACCCTAACCTTCCTCTGCAGCCTTACTTTCCTCCACTCCTGCCGGGATCCTATCTTTCTAATGTCTGGAACCCTGGCTCTTTCCTGTCCTTGGCCTTCATCTCTCCATCTTCAACAAATGCTCAGTTCCTCCTCCATCCTTCTGAACCCTTCGCAGATATCAATTCATCAAAAATCCTTCTCAGATCTCCCAAAGGACTGAAACTAATACCACGTGGCCTTATTCTAGTAACTGAACAGCAGACCTTAGAGGGTGAGGGGACTGTGTCTTTCATCTCTGTACCCCTAAGGCATTCATGACAACCTCTGGTCCATAACTGACATTAAATAATTGAGCAGGCAATTTAAAAGTTGCTGCAAATAGTTCACCATTTCCAGACCTTAAGAGATGGCAAAATCCAAGAGTAGCTAAGACAGACACTTACCCATGGATTCTGAAGTTTGACTGCCAACCACCCGGAGCAGCATAGGCTGGCTGCTGTCTGACCTCTGGAGAGAGGTAGAAGGAGAGGACACCGTTGTGCCATTCACCTTGGCCTCGGCCTGGGGCTAAGGCATCGAAAGAAAATAGAATTATTTTCCATAATAAACACTCAAACAAATACATAAATTTAAACCCATTATAGACACCCAAGACTCTGAAATTATGACTTTTCCTAATTAGAAATCTCCCAGACAGTTAAAGTTGAGAAACTTCACAGTTGATAAGATCCATGGATACTGTCTTTGTACTTGAATCATACCCCCTCAAAAGTTTGAAAGACAGTACAGCTACAGTGGAATAAGATAGAGAAAATCATTACACTAACTGAAAGATGTAGAAGGTCATGTGAAAATGGTGAAATCATATGAAGTGCAAATGAAAGTCGCTCAGTCGTGTCCAACTCTTTGTGACCCCATGGACTATACAGTCCATGTGATTCTCAAGGCCAGAATACTGGAGTGGGTAGCCTTTCCCTTCTCCAGGGGATCTTCCCAACCCAGGGATCGAACCCAGGTCTCCCGAATTGCAGGCAGATTCTTTACCAGCTGAACCACAAGGGAAGCCCAAGAATACTAGAGTGGGCAGCCTATCCCTACTCCAGTGGATCTTCCCGACCCAGGAATTGAACTGGGGTCTCCTGTATTGAAGGCAGATTCTTTACCAATTGAGCTATCAGGGAAGCCGATATGAGACCACAAAAATGTAATGGAAAATTCATACTTTTGTGAAGTATTATGCAATAAGATGGAGAGACCACATCTCAAAATTTAAAATTCCAAGAAAGACAGGACTATATGCAGGGAAGGGTCTCCTACAATGCAATCTCCTGCTACATTTTCAACGACCACTTAAATTATATTTTAGGGATTATCAAAAGGAACCAAAGGCATACCATAAAATAAGAGTAACTACAAAAAAGAGAGCTCCTGATTTTCAAGAGGTAAAAATTTCACTTTTGGATACCAGTGGAAACCTTTCTGCATTTTTTTCCCAAGATGAATTTTAAATTGGTCAAATAAAACACATTTTCATAGGACACAATCTGGCAGCAACATAAAACGACATGCTCATTTCATTCCTATTCTTATATCCCTTGCTATCTAGCACTTGGCGAAACACACACTGAATAATGACCAAATCAATGTTTGCAGCATTTCTGAAAAGGACTGAGAGTTCTGGTTCTTAGTTGTAAGAGGGGAAAGTGGATTTTTGTAAAGATCCCATGTTAGAGAGAGGGGTGTCTCACTTGCTCCAGCAGCTGCCTGAGCCTGTGTAACTGGGACTCCAGCTGTTTATTGTGGTCTTCCAGGATTTGCATCCTGGCTTCCAGGCGGCCTTTGTGTTGACGCAGTAGCTTGGCCTCAGCAATGAGCTCAGCATCCCGGGGACTCTGTGGCGAGGTGGGCATCATCTCAGGAGGGGACGGCAGTGGGGACAGGCCTTTATGTTCATGCTGTTCCTTGAGACGATCATATTCTGCCTGCAGATTCCTATTTGGCATCAATGAAGTGGGGGAAAAAAACAAGGGGAAAAACAAGAAAAAGGAAGTTGAGTATTATCACCAGATTTCTTATACTAATGGCAGAGAGATATTTCTGACCGCCACCAAACACAATAGCAAGCAAAAGAGAGGCACTGAATGAATGGTTTTTATGATGACGATTTTAGCAATGCTTAAAGAAAAAAAAACAAAAACAAAAAACAAAATAAAGTTTGAAGCGTCTGCCCGGTGTGTGTGAGGGGAGATGCTTTTCAATCTTCTATACTTAAAAGCCTTGTGAGTGCTATGTTTACATAATTAAGCAGTAAAGGAGTTAATCATTGTGTAAATATTGCCTTAGACTGTCATCAGATTATAATTCTTATACTTCTATTGACACTTGGGTTTGCTTAAACAAATCATCAAGTATTTTCAACAGCATGGTAGAAGAACATAGTAAAAGTATACCCATGTACCCACCATGGTGCATTAATAAATTTAACATATGCCATATTTTCTTCAAAATTTTGAAGAAATAAAATATGACAGTTACAGCTGAAGCGTCCCCACAAGTTCTCCTTATTATGTCAGTTCCCTGCTTACCACTACCCCTAAGGAGATAATGCCATCCTGAGTTCCGTGTCCATTATTACCATGATCATTACTAGGTTGAACTTAATAAAGACAGTGATATTCAGCTTTTTTAAACCTACAAAAATGGCTGTTTCGTGCGATTCAATCTAATAGCATTATTTAACATAGCATGTTCTTAAACTTTAAGAACTTTGTTGAAGCATGTACATCCCATTCTGAGAGTTGCTTTTTGCCTTCAACATTCTTTTGCAGCTTGAATATGCCATCAACATTCTCCTGTCAAAGACCATTTAGGTTGTTCCCAACTTTTCCCTAATACAAACAGTGACACAATGAATTTCCTTCTACAGGTCTCCTTGAATACCTGTTTGAGAGATTCTTTACAGAATAAATGTAGATGTAAAATTGTTGGGATCCAGCACCACCACCAACATTGCCAAAGATCACCAAACTGCTCTCCTAAGTGTTTTTATAGCAATTCATTCTCCCACCAGTAGTGAGTGAGGTTTTCCATTTGGCCACATCTTCATCAAATACTTGGCATTACCAAACATGTAAGTTTCGGGTGATGGGTACATTTTATTGGTGAGGCTGACCCCCTTTTTTTGGCTGTGCCACACAGATCATGGGATCTCAGTTCCCTGACCAGGGATCAAACCCGCACCCTTGGCAGTGAAAGCACAGAATCATTGGACAGGCAGGGAATTCCTAGGGGATGAACATCTTTCATCTTAGTTGGCTTTTAATGTTTCCGTACCTGTTTCCCTACTGGGTAGTCTTTTTCTTATGCAAATTCTGGATATGTTCTAGATGCTTATTTATTGCCAATTATAGCATAGCAAATACTATCTCTTAGCCAAATATTAGTACAGCTGATTTTGACTTTTACTCTTGGCATCCTATTCTACAATGATTTTTAATTTCAAAACATTCCTCCATGTTTTCTGCATGTCATGTTTTAAGAAAATCTCCCATACACCTACATTTTACAGTTTACAACCCTGTTTTTTCACATTTACAACTTAACCCAGAATCTTTTGTTTGGTGTGAACATGAAATCTAACTTGATTCCCCCTGACATAGATAACTTATTAAGCCAGGCCTGTGCCTAGTATAGTCCACCTTTCTCCGACTCCCACCGATTTCGATGGCATTTTTACAGTTCATAGAGCACCCATAAATAACACAAGTATGCTTCGGAGGTCTCTATTCTCTGTGGTTGGTTTATTATCTGTGTGTCCCTGTGTGAATTCCACATTATGGCTGTGAATATCTTGTGGTCTGGTAGGCCTTCTCACTCCCACTTCGTTCTGCCATAAAATTGTCTTGGCTCTTCATACCTCTTTGATCATCTCTATGATTTTAGAGTCAAGATTTCCTATTCCAGGAAAATCCTTGTTGACATTTAGGGTTTGAGTGACACTGAATGTATAGAATAAAATGGAAACAGCTGACTTTGCATTATTGAGTCTTTACATCAGGAATGTGGTTAAGCTCTTCAGTTACCCCAGGTGCCTTTTATGTCAAATAATCTCCTATAACTTACTGTGTTTTCCCCCTAGCTTTTAAGTTGAATACTTAAGTCCTTTCTTTTTATGTTTTTTTAATAGAGACATTTAGAAGTGTGGGTTTCCTTCTTGCTTTCAAATTGTTGGGCATACCAATGGAGGGCACTTTTGTTATTTGGTACCCAGCAAATGATTAGAACTCTTGGTATCCTCCTTCCAGATATAATGAACACCAAAATAGGATGGTAGATTTCTATTGTTCACAGATGTTATTTCATTGGGTTAGAGAATGTCCTAGCCACAAAGGTGGAAGATCTCTATCAATGAGAAAGGACATGAGAAGTAATGAGCTGTCAAGAAGAGTTTTTCCCTTGTCCAGTTGGAGGAGGAAAAATAATCTCATGATCAGGCTTCCCGCTATGGGTGTGTGCTCAATCGTGTCTGACTCTTTGCGACCCCATGGACTATAGCCTGCCAGGCTTCTCTGTCCATGGGATTTCCCAGGCAAGAATACTGGAGCGTGTTGCCATTTCCTACTCCAGGGGATCTTCCCGACCCAGGGATCAAACCTGTGTCTCCAGAGGCTCTTGTTTTGCAAGAGGGTTTTTCCTCTTAGGAAAATGTTTTCTGTTGCTCCATACCTGGAATGAACATTCCTCAGGGATGGCACATCTTCCAGAACGCCCAGTTTCAAAATGCTGGACCTCCACACCAAAGAAGATTTTTATTTCAATCCAATCCAATCTCTTTTTTTGTTTTTGTTTGAAGTTCTACCCAGGGAAGATACCCCAGAGGAGGGCATGGCAACCCACTCAAGTATTCTTGCCTGGAGAATCCCATGAGCAGAGGAGCCTAGTGTCACAAAGAGTCAGGACACGACTGAAGTGACTTAGCATGCACAAAGATTTACCCTATACCTAATGTTACCAGTTTTCCAGGAATTTGTTTCAAGTAATGCAGGGAAATCAGTCAATGATCTTTTTCATTTACAGAAATATACTCTGTTTGTATTGACTGAAATTCTGTCTGCTATCAATCTTCACAGAGAGTTATGTGTGTAGTCTGTTTCCTAGCAATCTGCTCTGACAAAGCAGTAATAAGAAGAAATTTATCAAAATAAGTTTACCCTTAGCTAGATTCTGTACATAGGTCCTCTGGGTGTAAGCCAACACAAGTAGCTCATGTTAATTAAATCCAATTTCTGGCCACTTAACTGACAATCATCTAAATGTTTCTGTGAACTTGAAGCATCATCCACTCTTCAGAGGGTTTCATTTGATAGAAATTATCATCTATTTTTTTCTGCTTGAAGTATCCGCTAAAAGAAGTCCACCTTCATTGAAATATCCCAACTGACAACACCTTTTTATATGTAGAATCCTATTCAAAACTCTTTCTACCAGAGTGGGTCATCCACAATGATCTTTTTGAAAACACTGCTTTTAGACATGGGTTTCAGAATAGTACAACAAACGACTACCGTCTTACCACTTACTTCTCACAAAGTTATCTACCTTTCCCAGAGAGGTGTTTGTCTGGGCCTAGTTTTCCACGAAGCTCTCCTTTAATGAGTTATTTATAAGCACCCTTGTTCAGAAACCATGGTTTAATATATACAACACACTGCATTTCTGTTTTTATGTTTTCCAGTGAAAAACAGAGAGAACTCATTTGAATCAGTCAGGACTTCCCAAAGCTGAGCTGTAAAGAATACCAATTGCTCCACACAGGCCTTTCTTGCCTTCCCAGATGTTTGAAATTTCTCTCAGGAGACCGTTTCCTTAAAGACTCACATCATTCTTCATTTCTGGAAGATTCTCGGTGGTTATTGCTTCTCTGCCATTTCCTCCCTTCTCTTCTTCTGAACCTTGTACTAGGTATATTTTACAGCCTTATGGTTCATTCCCTATCTTCCTTAATTGCTTATTTATATTTATCTGTTTTTCTTACTGCTGTGTATAGTGAAGTCCTCAGAATTGTTTTCAATTCCTTACTTCCTCTGGGTCCAGCCTAGTTTACCATGTCTATTGAGTTCAGTGGGAAGATCCCCTGGAGGAGGGCATGGCAACGCACTCCAGTATTCTTGCCTGGAGGATTGCATGGACAGTGGAGCCTGGCAGGCTCCACTGCATGAGGTCGCAAAGAACTGGACATGACTGAATGATTAAAACTTCAACTTTTTCATATAAATGAGTATATGTATGTCTCTCTCCAGGTGTGTTTTGGCAGGACCCTGATTTCAAATATCTGGCTCTGTGCCCCAAGCTGGTGAGGAGAATTCTGTTGTTTAGTCACTAAGTCATGTCCGACTCTGCATTTAAATTACTGCTATTCCAACAGGAGTTGAAAGTTCACTGACTAAGCCCCACATACTGCCGCCCAACCCACCATTTTTGGTCCACAGAAATGTTTATCTTGTTTTAAAGCACAGTTATGACTTTGTAATTTTTTTCACTCCATATATTACCTACCACTGGAAAAATGGAAGAAGCAGAAGACGCCGCCTCAAAGCAAAAGCTAACATTATATTAATCAGAAAGCTACCAGGACGTGTTGATTTTGTAAATATCTGATCAAGGTTTCCTTGGCACTCATTCAAATCTAAATTTACCACAACAGGGTCCAATGAACCAAACAAGTATCTTCTCCTAAACAAATATGTGGCACACATAAAACTTCTATTAGGCTGAATAACAGGCCTGATTTTGAAAGAATACTTTTTTCCCCCAAAGTTCTAAGGCAGGACAAGCTATCATGGCAAAGATTGAAAAAGCCAGAAATAGCTCAAAAGGAGGTATGTTCACCAGAAACCAAGTAAAATATGAAGTTTTTCGAGCCTAAATTCTCTTTTACAGGTATTTATACATTTTCAAGATTACCAAGAAAAACTGATGTTCAAAGAGTTGAA